TTTAACAGCCCCTCAAAAGGGATAAATACCAGAGAAAATTTCTTGACTGTGATTAATTTTAAATATCATGAGTTGGCCTAGAGCAACAATTACGCAGCGTGCCAAATAAATGATACTGAGAACAGTTTACTTTAATAAAATTAGCCACTAAAATTGTGTTGTGTTTATTCTAATAGCCTAAGTCCTCAGGGAGGGCAACAAATAACGATAAATATACAAAATTGGAATTATTATAGCTTTATATTAATCGTGCCGATTTTCGTTTCGGAAGTTTTGAGTGTTGTTTTGCAGCATTTCTGATTTAATGATTTTTATCACCTCGTACGGGTAATCATCTAGCTCTAANGCAACAAATAACGATAAATATACAAAATTGGAATTATTATAGCTTTATATTAATCGTGCCGATTTTCGTCTCAGAAGTTTTGAGTGTTGTTTTGAAGCATTTCTGATTTAATGATTTTTATCACCTCGTACGGGTAATCATCTAGCTCTAAATAAAAGACGAAATAATACAAACATTAACACAATTTCCAATCGATTACGGATGCGTTTGATTATCTTCGGAATATAAGATGAGCCACTCATTTCATATCTTAGACTAATTTTTCTCGATGACCTACATTATAAACTGAGAATTGTGAGCATTTTTCGAATCAGTCATTAAAGATATACTCCATAGATTTAAATGGGGAAAATAAACAGCCGTTATCTTGTTTGGATGAGCAAATAATTAAGAGAAATCAGTAGCCAAAGGGGTATCTACTTGGAATTCAGCCAAGAAATCGGGACACACCTCCGTTCCTCATCAGTTCAGTTCGTTTACCTCTGCATTGGAAGAAAGCCAATATTTCTTTTTCTTTATATTTCTTTAAAATTATCAAAGCGGGGTGGCTTTCCTCTTAAAAGGTTTCCGTTGTCGTCTGTCAACACAAAGGTATCAAACAACGGCATTCGTAAAAAAAAAGTGCCATCAGGAACAAAAGAAACGGTAACCGTGAAGTAGAAAAAAAAAACTTTCATTTTTTTTCAGTTGCTTAATTGAAACGTTTAATGTATATTAACGCTGAAACAAATCGCTTTTTGGCAGCTTTTTTAATGTTTGTAAGCCGGGTAATGTTTGTTTTAATTTTAAGCAAACACAAATGTGCTTTCCAGGGGGAAGAACTGTTTTTCTAAATAATATTTTAAGATTCCAGAGAAAATAAATTACGTAAATTTTTTAATTATGTTTGCATGTTTTGAGCTAAATTTCAACAGTTAATAAAATTAATTAGGTAAAAAATGGCAATCATTAACAACAAAAAAAACGTGATATTGGAAAGAAAAAATCTTTTTTTTTTCTGCTGCTTAATTCAAACATTTGATATATAAACCACTAAAACAAATCGCATTTTAGCAGCTTTTATAATGAAACATTAAAGACGTGTAATGTTTGTTTTAATTTAAGACGAACACAAATGTGATTTCCTAAGGGAAAAAAAACATTTTTTTTAACACTAGATTGTCCAAGGAAGTCATTTTGACTGCTTTTTAATTTTAATTAGAAAAACAATGATGTATATAATAACACAATTTCTTTGAATTTTGTGACTTTTATAATTATTTTTATTGTTGATATTTACTAATAACTTGTTATATAACTGAAAATAATGTCAAAAATTAATTTTAAACAAATTTCTTTATACATTAGTTATTCTTTCACAATGCAGTCGTTTTGACTGCTTTTGGGCAATATAGGTATTTCAGTCTTTCTAGTGTTAAAAGAGAATTAGGTTTAGCGAGAAAGGAAAATAGGTGAATTTTTAAATTATTTTGCATGATTTGAACTAAATTTTAACAGTTATTAAAATAAGTTACGTAAAAAAGTGCAATCACTGAGAAAAGAAACTATAACCGTAATTCGGAAAGAAAATGCTTTTTTTTTTTTTTTTTACTGTTACGTTTAATATATATACGGAACCCGTTATTCGGAAATCAGAAAACCGGAAAACCAAAAAACCGGAACGAAATTTGGTAAATTTTCCTGCCATTTAAGAAAAAAAAAAAAAATTTTTTTTCCTCGTAAAATTTTAGGATTTTTCTTTTTTGAAAGATGTTTACCTTACCATCATTTTGGAAATAATCATTAGTGTATTACTTAATATTTTTTTTTTTCTTCTTTTTAAGATTATTTCCAAATATTTTTTTTAAGTTGCTTTTAACAATAAAAAAACGGCTTTTTGTAGCGATTCAGAAAACCGGAAAAATCAGTTATTCGGAATAGCGATGGTGACGATCGTTCCGGATAATCGGTTCCCTACTGTATTAACCAATGAAACAAATCGTCTTTTAACAGCTTTTGTAAGGAAACATAAAAACACCAAATTTATGGTTTCTATTTAAAGAGGGAACACAACTGCGTTTTTTTGTTTTTCTACGTGATATTTTTAGATCATCAAGAAAACAAAGTTCGTAAACTGTTAAGTTACTTTATATGCTTCGAACAAAATTTAAATTAGCTAATTGAATAAATTATGTAAAACTAAACAGTTAACGTTAGACATTTGAAAATCAACTAATTTGAATACTTTAATCGATTTACTTAAAATTTTTAACAGCTTTCACTCAGAATTTGTTTATTTATTCATTTTTTTAATGCAGAGAATTGCAACCAAAATGGAATTAAAAAAGTCACAAAAGTCAGTGGTAAACAATTAACCAAAAACTCTATAAGTAACAAATTTTACCGCTGAGCAGTAACTACATAATTCACATACACGAATTTTAATTTTTAAATAAAACGGATTAAAATTTAAAGGAATTATCCAGCCCACAATGATAACTGCTGTTTTGTGAATCAATGCAAAATAGGCTGTATCTCTATAAAATAGTGGCCCCGTAATCACTGCCCTAAATCAATATTTTTAGGATCCTTATTAAAAATTATTTGCATTGGGGGATACAATTTAGATGATGCACCAGGAAAAATAATGATGCTATCAAAATCTTACGAAGCATTATTGAGAGAGTCGGAATTAAAAACATCGGAACGTGTTTGATTAAACAAAGTAATGGAGCGACGTTGAATGGCAAGTTATAACTGTTAATAAAACAGGTTTTGTTGTTTTTACATCCACTTTAGAGAGTATCCAGAGAATGTTACTTAACTCTTATATGTTTAGATGTGTTTCATACATACTGAATGTACTCTTAAAATATTAACTTTTAATTTCTTTACTACTATTGTCAAACTATATTATAATAAAAGAATGTAATTTATGTATGAAATAACTCTTGATTTAAGCCTTTAGAGAGGTTAAGAGGACGCTAAATTATGGGAAAGACTTTTTATGACAAATTCTGTTTCACCTCTATTTTGGTAATTTAAAATTTAAAGTATAGAGGAAAAAAAGGTACAGGTAAACAAAAAGTAAACCATGAAGTTTTAAATGCATAATGCTTTTTTCTTCAAAATACCAAAATGCAAACAAATTAGGGTGTGATAATTTGTCCTACTGTCTAATACAGCAATAATTCGTTGGCGTTTTGATATTTCGAAAAAGATATTCCAGCATTTTAAGCTGCATGTTTTTTTTTCCTATACTTATATTGAAGCTAATGAAGATAAAACATACTAGTATAGTTAAAACAGTTCCTACTAATGCAGGCAAAACAGTCTCTACTAATGTAGGTAAAACTCTATACGAAATGTAGGTGAAACAATATATACTAATGTACGTAAAACAATCTATACTAATGTACGTAAAACAATCTATACTAATGTTGGTAAAACAATTCAAACTAATGTAGATAAAAGAATCCTAATGTAGGTAGAACAATCCATACTAATGTTGGTAAAACAGTCCATATTAATGTACGAAAAACAATCTATACTAATGTAGGTAAAACAATTCAAACTAATGTAAATAAAAGAGTCTATACTAATGTTGGTAAAACTGTCCATACTTATCTACGTAGAACAATCTATAGTATAGATTCTATACTAATGTAGGTAAAACAATGCATACTGATGTAGGTAAAATAATTCATACTAATTTTGCTAAAACAGTCCATACTAATGCAAGTAAAACAGTAATGTTGGTAATGCAGCCCATACTAATGTACGTAAAAGAATCTATACTAATTTATTTTAAACAATTCATACTAATGTAGGTAAAACAGTCAATACTAATGGAGGTAAAACAGAATTTGCCATGAAGCATTTCTTCGCGATATAACGTTCTCTTAAACATTAAACATATCCGTTTTTCAGAATAAAAATGTTGATGAAATTCTTAATTTTCATTCGTCGCCCCATAATTTAATTAGTATCAATAATTTTTTTTCCAACAGTATCAATACCTTTACTCATTTAATACGTCACACTTAGTATTTTCGTTATCTCTCTCAACTGTACTTAAATAACTTCTTAACATTGTATTAAATAAAAAATATGCATAGAGATTTTTTTCTTTATGTTGCAGCTAGCTGCCAAATTTGCTGCAAATTTGCATTCCAAATTGAACCAGTAATCCTATATCATTATCAAGTCTCTTAAATATTTGAGCCATAAACTAAACATGTTAAAAGGATATACAGAAAAAAATGATCAATGAAATAATTTTTATGAGAATGTGTTGCACAATTGTAATTATAGAAGAAATTTTCATATATAGACTGATAAACTAATTAATAAGTTTCATAAGACCAATAATATATTATTTTTTACAATTTATTTAATATTTTTGAAACATCTTTAAAATTCAAATAAATAATTTGAACATGTAAGTTATCCATAGGAAAGAACTGTACAAACTTTCCACAAAAGGATTTTGTAAACAATGAAGAATATTACATGTTACAATTAAGTTTTTTAAATAAGAACCAGGAAATAAAATTGGAAACACTCTTTCAGACACACTCAGGAGTTCTTAAAAGCAAACAAGTGTGCATAATTATAATGAATTAAATATATTTAATGACAAAAGAAATGAAAGTAAATATTTGTGAGTACTTACTTCTTGAATTAATTCAGATATAAGTTCGAGAGGTGAGTTATAAATACAATCATCTTGAAGTGGAGTGGTAAGAGTCATCTCTACCAAGCCCTAGAATTAAAAGAAAAACACACACTCTCTCTAATGCAAGTAAA